ATGCATAAATCGTCATCTAAATCTAAATAAATCTAAAAATAATATGGAAGAACTTTTTATTACACCATATATTGTTTATGTTAGATATTGATAAAATTGGTTCGTTTAATTACAGATTGTTTTTGTAAGATTCAAATTATATTGTTCTTGTATTGTGTACTACTTCAGCAACAAAGAATTTACGTAGGTATAACATGTTATATGTCTATGATATAAGATGTTTTAACAATATTTAACAAACATGTCTGTTACTTAAAAACTTAGGCTCTGGCCTAGAAAAGGAAAAGGTACAGGGTGGTTTTTAGTCAGTTAGTCAGTAAAAGTAATACTTAAATTAAATACTTCCTCTCGCCTCACGAAAAGCGCGAGACGTAGTTTGATGATTTTACCTCTAAAAACTGATTGATGATTTTACCTCTAAAAACTGTAGCATCAATTAATTTACACTACTCCCCTACAACTGAGTACGCTTAAAATCAAAAACAATGACACATCTAGCGAACTAAATCAACATACAGTTGCAAGTTACCTAACTACACCTGCCTGTAGGTAGCTCATTGCAACGGCTTCTTCGTAACATTTGCACTTTGAAATTGCATACACGTGTAACTTCAAAATAATATATTACTTAGGTACTTCCATCTTGTACAATGCTAGCTGAACTTGAGAAGTTTTACTAAGGTTCCAGTTACTTGAATGTTTAATTGATCGTTTAGTTGTTGAAGCTTCAATTTAATTTCCTTCTAGAAATACGGAGAAAGGAAAAATGAAAATGCCGGTTTTACGTTGTGAATACCTACAAGATAGCAATATTACATAAACGGAAAATGTGAATTAAAAATTTACTTAAGTCTCAGCGCAAAAGGCCAAAATGTTTAACTTACGGCTGATTTTTCAATAGTCAGATAAATGTTATCGTAGGAATAAAATTGTTGCTGTCACTGTCTTGTACAAACATTCTGAGGCGACAGCATCATAAATTATTCCTCGGGTAAATTTATCTGACCATTGAAAAATCAGCCCTTGATTCCGGAAATTCTAATTTAGTATGCTTTTAACGTCCTGGTGACCCAGAGATTGAGGCATCCGATCTCTTCCATGTGATAATTTGAAGTTTTATGTACTTTCTAAGATATATACCTACATTCTTGACCATTCTTCTCCTTGGATACCTTATAATGGAATAAGCAAATATAATTTCTAGGTAATGGACTGAGATGCAGACTCTTTTATCTTTAAGCAACATCTGATTTTCAAAATATTTTCATTCCTATATTAAGTTTGCATTCCCATGCATTTATCTATAACATTGTGCACAAGGACTCCACACTTTACAATCCTTAATAACCTGTAAAAGTTCAAGTTGTAAATAAAAAAATAAATTTGAAAATAATTATACTACAATTTTACCTTAGTGATAAGGAAAATAAACACAGCATAGTACAATATACATATATAATATGCATGTAAGCTCCATGTACGTGTATATTGTGATACCGGCTTTAAAATTAATTATTAATTAGAAATAATTAACCCCGTCGTTTGTTCTTTCTTTTCAACGTTCTCTCTGCATTGTTCTCACATATGAATTAATAATGTGTATTTAATAATGTATTAGTGAGCTTGTAAAACATAAGTATGTAATTATATTATAAAGAGTAAATACACATATTTGCATTTATAACAGATACAAGTGAAACATTCAAACTAATATTATAAATGCGTAAGTAACTCTGTCTGTCTTTTCTTCACGCCTACTTAAACTACTGGACCGATTTGCGTAAAATTTGGTACGGGCATAGTTTGGAACTCGAGAAAGGACATAAGATAGTTTTTATCTTGTGTCCTTTCTCGAGATCGGGAGCTTTGTGGGAAAACCAATAATTTGGAGGAAGTCACTATTTCACGCGAACAAAAGTCGCGGGCAAAAGCTAAACATATTTAACAATAAACAAACCATTCAATAAGTATTTTTAAATTACAATACAGCACTATTTCAGTTCTCGCAACCATCGGTTTTGTTTTGGCCACGAAATCATTGAACTACTTAAAATAAAATAATTCAGTTTAAAATCTGAATTTTTACTTCCCTAACTCATTGTTTGTTTGAGTGTTTCATTATTAAAATACTTTCTAACTACGGTTTCTAATCTTTTTGTGAGAATCATAGAAAAAAAAATGGTGAAAGAACATTGCGTTTTTATGTAATTATAACGATTACTTACCTAACTAAGGCTAAGAAATTGTTTATTTGTGTCATACATAAATGAGACATTGCTAATTATACTACGTCGTATTTTTTCTTTTGAAAAGTTCTAAGTAGTGTTATTAACACTCTCCAGTCTATGCCACCACACCTCCAAACTGCTCTGGACCTCTAGGGCACTCTCGGCAACCAGCACAATATCATCGGCAAACAGCATACACCAGGGAGCCTCTTCCTGAATATTAGAAATAATATTATCAGGAAGAGGTAAGGGCTGAGAGCTGACCCTTGGTGTAAACCGACAGCCACATTGAACTTGCTAGTGGTGCCCGCTGCAGACCGGACTTGTGTACTGCAGCGACTATACATTGATCGGATCAACTGCACATACTTCCCAGGCACACCTTTCTCCTTAAGGGCCCACCACAGCACCTCACGAGGTACCCGGTCGTATGCCTTTTCGAGGTCAACGAATACCATGTGCAAGTTTTTATGTGCACCTCTGTATTTTTCGCACAACTGGCGTATAGCAAATATGGCATCCGTTGTACTACGACCAGGCATAAAACCGAATTGGTTCTGTGAAATGTCACTCTCTTCTCTCAGCCGCCGTTCAATAACTTTCTCCCATACTTTCATGGTATGCGACATTAGCTTTATTCCTCTATAATTGTTGCACTCAAGGACATCACCTTTGTTTTTAAAGATGGGCACCAAAGAACTGTTGCACCATTCATCAGGTATGGTTTCTTCCTGCAACAATTTATTGAAGAACAAAGCCAACCACACCCATCCATCTACTCTTAATAACTTCCACACCTCAACTGGTATTCCATCTGGGCCAATGGCTTTACCATTTTTCATTCCGTTCACTGCTATTCTGACTTCCTCCACACTAACTATTCTCACTAACCCCACATTCACTGGTTTATTCTCTAAAACCCCACTCCAATTATTTTCCTCATTCATAAGTCTTTCAAAATATTCCTTCCACCTCTCTTTGATTTTGTCGTTATCCGATAGAACCATTCCACTTTCATCTCTTACACATCTTATCTGGCAAACATCCCTCGTCTTTCTTTCCCTCATTTTAGAGAGTCGGTACAGCTCTTTTTGGCCTGCAGGACTGTCTAATGTATCATATAGTTTGTCCTGGGCTTTTGCTTTTGCTATTGCTACGGCTTTCTTTGCTTTTTTCTTTAAAGCATCATACTCACTCTTTCTTTCAGCTTTCAAACTAACATTATCTGTTTGTACGCACTGCCATTCCTTGAATTTTTTCTTCTTTTCTTTCAATACATTCTGAACTCCTGTCGACCACCACCATGTATATCTATTCTGCCCTTTCCTTTCGTCTCTCCCAAAATATCTTTCGCTGCTTGCCTTATACAGTCAGCCATCTCATTCCAGCTTTCATTTATACTTCGATCATTCATGTCTCCTATCTCTATCATTCTATCCACCACCCGCTCTCTGAACTTCTTCGCGCAGTCATTCCTCTCTAGCCTGTGCCATTTTATTCTAGAATAGAATTTGAACCACTTATTGAGTACTTGTTCTGCGATTTTGGCGGTCTCTCTAGTTCTGTGCCCATAGCTCTCGCCGGAACGCCCATACCAACCTGTTCCGATTTTCGGTACCTTGGCTCGCTTATCCAAGGAAATGGTGAGATAGACCGAGACGTGGCACATCGGATCAACTCAGGATGGATGAAATGGCGACAGGTCACTGGAACAACTTGCGACCCACGGATGCCCCTCAGGTTGAAGGGTAAAATCTACAAGTCAGTGATAAGGCCTGTCCTACTGTATGGGTCAGAATGTTGGGCTCTGAAAAAGACGGATGAAAAGCGATTGCATGTAGCAGAGATGAGAATGCTGAGATGGATGTGTGGTGTGACGAGAATGGATAAAGTGAGAAATGAGTATATTAGAGGAAGTTTGAAAGTGGCGCCAGTGACTGAAAAGTTGAAAGGGAACCGTTTGTCTTGGTATGGCCATGTGAAAAGGAGGGATGAAAAGCATGTAACAAAAAGAGTCATGAGTATAAATGTGGATGGATGGAGAGGGAGGGGGAGACCAAAGAAAATATGGATGGATTGTGTGAGAAGTGATATGGAAGACAGAGGAGTTAGCGATAGCGTGACGAGTGACAGGACAGAATGGAAGAAAAAAACATATTGCGCCGACCCCAAATAAAACGGGACAAGGGCAGGAAGATGATGAAAAGTTCTAAGTAGCTATTAGGTAATATTTATTAACTCATATTATTCTTCTATCTCTTTCAAAAGATGTCATTTTGATTCTATTCTCTGTCTGTAGTTCTTAATCGCCGAAGTCACTCGAATGTACATACGTGATGTAAAAAAAATAAATATCAAATGTATTGTTGTGGCTTATAAGTCTTACTTCTCAGCCGGGGTCGCACAGGCCTGCGGTCGGCGAGTAAGGGCAGCTCGCCGCCCGACCAGAACCAGGCCCGAGCGTACGGCGCGAAGCGTTCCGCGCGCGCCTCAAAGAGCCATGAGACCACCACAGACGGGGCCCTAAAGGGCTGATGTTCAGCCGGGGTTGCGGGGTAAGCGCAATGAAGCACCGCGACCTCGGCCCAGAGCAGGAGAAGGAACAGGGGGGTTTTTAGACTGTAAGAGTCTGACACTCCCTCCCGCCCGGCCCTGGGCGGGAGAAGTAATTGGATGATTTTCACCTCACAAAAAAAAACCCATGGCAAGATAGAACCCCATCAAAAAAGGTTTGTTACTTGTGTTTTTAATTATTTATTTGTTTTGTTTCAGTGTTCATTGAAGATATAACTAACAAAATGTTATCCAGGCATCATTGGACGGGACTTGTTGGTAAGTTTATGTTTTTTTTTTATTTTGTTTTAGTTTTTCAACACTTAGGGCTGATTTTTCAATGGTTTGATAAAAGATATCTAGGGGAATAATTATTATGCCGTCGCGTCAGAAAGTTTGTTTAGCCCTAAAATATTTTTTATAATTATGATTTTTACGTCATTTTTTGGACTATTGCGTTCGTCGAATGTCTAGTAGGCACGATAAATTCGATACTATTTTGTTTTTACATGTATACGGTGATTTCAAAAATGTTAAAAAAACCGAAATATACATAACTTTGTGTCAATAAAATTCTACAAAATAAATACATTTCGGCTGAATCTCTCAATGTAAAAAGGCAGCTGCACAAACCCAGAACATTATCGACATTTAAGAAAAGCAAAGTTTCTTAATTACTTTCATATTGTAATCGATTTTAACGTAAACAAATCTAAAGAAAAGTTTTGATCGAAACGTTTTCAAAGTTAACCAAACTCGAAACCAGTTTTAACTTAATTACTTTACATTTTAACTGACAAACTGTAAGTTTCGTTGAGAAACTACTGTTTTGTTTAACTTACTCGATCGAGCAAACTGATTTATTTTCAGTTTCATTTTCAGTACGAAAATTTACAAATTATTTGTTATTTTCAGTTTTACTGTTCAAATTTGTTGTTTTTGTTTCATCCTTATTGTGTTTTTCAACAAAATTGAATTCGTTACAGAATTTACCTATTATTCTACAATACCACACTGATTTTCATGATCTTTGAAACTATTGGGTGTGTTGTGTTAGCGAAATAACTACTATAGCCGTAATTCAAAAAGGGACTTAAAGAAATCCCTATTATTTGCGATATAGGCAAATCTTTTTACATTTCAATTTGGTACTTAAAAACCAATAATATATTCCCAATGAAATCCAGCCTTGGAACTTGTCTCAGCCTCATGATTATGGGTCCAAGCATAATAATGTATGCCGCGGAAGAGCCAATAGACCACAGTAGACGGGACCCTATAGGCCTCATTTTCAGCCGGGGTTGCAGGGTGGCCTCGGCTTAGAGCAGGAGAAGGTGGTCTTTATTCAAAAAGAGTTTGGTCCCTCATCCACGATGAGGAAAGTAATTTGATAATTATCCCCCCCAAAAAGAAACAAAAATAGCCCAAGAACTTGTTATGTATTGTATCTTCGTGCTTAAGCCATTAGATAAATACAATTAGGGTAAGCCATGATCATCACAGTGTTACGAAATGAAATACTTCAAGACAGTTGTAATCAACCATCATACATTTTAATGGTTGCTACAAAACTTTAAAACATGGCCGAAGACATTAATCATTATAATAACAATAAATATTTACCAAATAACTTTTATTGCAAGCTAAACTTATACAATTAACATTTACGTAACTCATTAGTGAAATTTCAACTACGTTGGACTAAAAAGTTGGCACTTGATAATGTTGTGTGCGAAATCTCGTGAACATAGATTTAGTAGTTGAGGAGAAATATGCACGTAGACGATTGAACAGTACATTAAATTATAAGAAAATATTAGAAGCACAATAGCTAATCTGCAGAATAATTAGTACGTGTAATGTTATAATAAACTAAGTATATAGTTTTTGTTATTCTAAAGTCATATCTAAAAATTGCACCTAAGCGAACGGCGCTTAGGTTATAAATAAACACACTGCCATCTATCAAAAGCTATCAAAATAACTAAAATCCCTAAATCTCTATAACAACAACTACAAATAATTCCAAACTATAGTAACAATTGCACACTAAATATAAGCATAGACACCATCATATCAATCTCAGCCGGGGTTGCGGGGTAAGCGCAATAAGGCACCGCGACCTCGGCCCAGAGCAGGGGAAGGAACAGGGGGGTTTTTAGTCAGTAAGAGTCTGACACTCCCTCCCGCCCGGCCCTGGGCGGGAGAAGTCATTTGATGATTTTCCCCTCACAAAAAAAAATCACATCAATCTAACCACAACTATCCAATTTTCATCCGTTCTTCCACTTTAATACAAACCTAATAAAACTGAAAATCTATTAAAGAAGTTAAGTTTACTTTAATGTGCCGTCACACACGTTACAGGTCTAAATAGTTGGAAGTTCTTTAGCTGAAAACTTTGCAGACGATACCTGTCTAGCGTCTAGTACAAACATCTACGTAATTAGTTTTTGTTAGTAAATGTTTTAAATAGAGGACTTAAAGTATAAAGAGGAGGAATTATATTAATTATACCCTGTATTCAGGAGGTTAAGGCACATGCTTCTTACACATGGGGAAAATTCTCGTGCAAATTGAACCTGACAAGTTAATGTGACATTTATACAATTGCTAAGTTTTTTTTTAATGTCGTGGTGGCCGAATGTCGTGGTGGCCCGGAGGTTAAGGAGCCCGCTTCTCATGCATGAGGGTGTGGGTTCGAAACCTGGCAAGTACCAATGTGACTTTTTCCGAGTCATATGTACTTTCTATGATTAAATAGACACCACTGACATACGGTGAAGGTAAACATCGTGAGGAAACCTGGACTTATAATTTCTAATTATAAGTTTGTAATCGCCAACCCGCATTGAGCAAGCGTGGTGATTAATGCTCTAACCTTCTCCGTTTGAGAAGAGGCCTTTGCTCAGCAGTGGGCACTTATAGGCTGATGATGAAGTTTTTTTTGGGTAAAGTCGGTTCTTGGACAACTGCAACATCGATGGGTTACCGGAGACTTAATACGTTGCCGGGGACGAGGCAGGGGTAAGGATTTGGCCGCCGGTAACCTCACTCACACAGTGGAACACAATGCGTCAATATTTTAAGTCGCCAATCCGCCTTGAGCCTTGTATTTATTTTGATGCTCGTGAAACCTTCTCCATGTGAGAAGGTTTCGATGATTTCACTCGTCCTAAGCGGGGTGTGTGGGAGTCGAGACTGTCAACAACCAAAAACCCAAACCGTTTCTTTTTTCATGTGAAATAGCGGCGAACGAGCCAAGTACCTGATGGTAAGCAATCGGCGCTGCCCATGGACACTCACAACACCACACGAGTTGTGAATTGCCGGCCATTAGGAAATTCCGTTTCGGCGGGATTAGGAATGGATGGGGAGGGGAAAGATTGGGCCATTGGGCCCCCGGTAACCTCACTCTCAACTACACAAGACGAAACAACGCTGTGGTTTTCTATGAGGCCGTGGTTTCTCCCACACTTAGACTTCATCTGCTGTTGCTATTGTATTCAAGTAATAACATTTTGAAGAATAATATGAACAACATATCAAAAACGTTAAGCACAATTTACCTAAATCTTTATCAACAACTTAGTATTGGTCACTCACAAAACAAAGCCAATAAACAGAAAGAACAATGTGAACCTAATACTAGAAGTAACAAGCAATCCACAAAGATATTTAAACAATTAACAAATAAGTAATTAATCTTCGAGTCATTTAGCTAATCTATCCGACAATGCAACGCGTAGGATGCTGCATTGCCTAACTGTGAACAATCTTGTAATCTTGTCGGATCAGACAGAAGCTTACTATTGTTTGTACAACAATGTGCTGTGGGTGTTAGCTTTAAAGCCGTGTTAACACTGCTAGATGCGCTAAGCGATGTTTAGCTAAAGCTAAGCTTGTTAAACCATCAGATTTGTACACGATTGCAAGTTCAAGGGATAGGCTTTAGCCGGGGTTGCGGGGTAAGCGCAACGAGGCACCGCGACCTCAGCCCAGAGCAGGAGAAGGAACGGGGGGTTTTTAGTCAGTAGGAGTCTGACCCACTCCCTTCTGCCCCACCCTGGGCGGGAGAAGTCACTTGATGATTTTCCCCTCACAAAAAAAGGGATAGGCTTTACCAATTCGATGTACATTATCTAGCTCAAAGACAGGTATCTATATTTAAAAGCAAGCACTAATTCAAATATTATTTTGTACAACCGACTTCGGGAGCACGGTTATGATACTGATGAATAGGGCTCCAGAGACAGAAACCGCTTCACATTGCGAGCCACAGGAGGGGACGTGCAGGCAAAATAATGTACCGCAGCCTCGTTCCACACTAGAAGACGGAACAGAACAGTTTTTGGTCAAAAAGTATTTGTATTAGAGCATCCTAGTTCTCTCTGAAACAAAAAAGTATGAGTCTTCTAAACTGTTATCATTTACATCGATATAATAAAACATTGTAAACTATTTAATTGAAGAGGTAACAACAGTTCGGTACTTTCTTTTAATAGTAACAAAATAATGCTACTATTAAAGAGATGATGAGAGAATAAATAATTCCTAAAATATTATCAAAAATTTTTAAGGAGAATCACTTTAAGAAAATCCACGACAACTGCTACATAATATAGCTTTAGTTTAGCTATAAGTGTGAGCAGTACTTATTCACTTGCATTCCCACAACCTTGAGTGTAGTGAATGCTTAATTAATATATATATGCGAATATGTCTATTAATATACACAACGTACTCGAACTCTGCGCCTTGCAAGTGCTATAAGTAGGCTACTAGTTGTATGTCAGTGACATGTTGTGTCTATAAACATATTATATTATAACTAAAGATATGGTTGCTCTAGTTTTGACTTCGTTTAAAACAGGTGCTTCTAAACTTTGTATTATAAGCTTTATATTTATTTATTTAAAAAAACTGTTTATAAATTACATTTTTAGTTTTTTTCTTCCCTTTTTTTATGAGAGGGGAATACCATCAAATGACTGTTAGTATTAGAATGAATTTTGATCTAAATTTCTCAAGATCCTAAGGACGAGAAGAAAGGGAGTGTCAGACTCATACTGACTAAATTCACCCACGAGGGACACTGGAGAAGGAACGGTCCTTCTTCTGCCCAAGGGGGAGGTCGCGGCACCTTATTGCGCTTGCCCCACAACCCCTGCTAGACATCGACCCAGCATGGCCCCATCTGTAGTAGTCTATTGGCTCTTTGGAGGCGCGCGTGGAACGTTTTGCGCCGTACGTGTGACACAAGCTCTTCCCTTCAGTGCCGACAAAAATTACCAAGCTGCACAGACCAAGCTAACGATCCCTTACAAACCTGATCCTTTTGAACTGTGATTTTCAACCCACCTGTCAAGAGTAGAAACACTTCTATAAAGAGAATCTTGGTCCTTCTTTATCCTCGTAAAAAGGTCAAGTATTCATCATCCTATATTCCACATACATTTATTGAAACACCTTCTTATCCCTAACAAACAAAATAATTTAAAAGGTAGTTAGGTACTCACAAAATCGAATCCTTTAAAGACCAAGTCAATTTACTTAAGTTAGTATATTTGTACATAGTACTGCTATTTACCTAAGTTCTATAGAACTAACCAAGAAGCAGCAATTTCGTCGGAAAACCTTTTTGCCCTTTTTCGGCCAACATCTTAGTCTTAGGTAAATTAACGAAGACATTCTTACAAAGAGAGTAAAGCCGTCACTTTAATTGCTACACGTACAGAGAGGTAACAAAATGGAAAAAATAAAACAGTACTGTATTCCACAGCTGGGTGAGTGAGGTTAGCAGAGGCCCAATCCTTTAGCCCTCCCATCTCCCAATACTCAAATCCTTTATCTGAAAATGCCACACTTGTAACTCTATGATGTTTCAGATATCTATGGGCGACACCGATTGCTTACCATCAGGTATTTCGTCTACTCGTGTACCGAAACACACGCCTTCAGGTTTTAAAAGAGTGTATAATAATGAAAAAGGCCTGATAAAAAATTATTGCAATAAAATTATTATGAATCATTATTTATTAATCTTATGTATGTTTGACATAATTATCTAGCCATTGACAACGATTGAAAATTATGACGGTATATTACCAGTTATTGATATTTTATTATTATTAAATTAAGTATTAAAAATTAATAAAAACAACTGTATACGAATAATACTAATAAACAGCTCGATTAAACAACAATAAAGTTCAACTGAAACTTAATAACAGCTTTACAACAAACTACCAACAAGAAAATAGAAAACATTTTTCCGATTGAAATCTTAGCACTAAAACTTTCATTTCAACATTTTCAACTCGTTCCCAGAATTAGCAGTGCAAAGAAAACGGGAAAGAAAGAAAGAGAGAAAATAGATAGGTACTGGAAAGAAGTGAAATGGGGAAAAATTAACAAAAGCTGAACTGGCATCCACTAGACAATGGCTGGGTTTTTAGAGTTCCGCGAAATAATGGGAAAATGGTACGCTTCGTGGATGGATGTCAATGAGTGCTCTCTTTGGCTCACATTATCTTTTTTCTGTGTACATGTGTGTGTGTTGTTTATTAGCTGGAATATGTGTCGATGGCTTACAATTGTTATATCACTACATAGTATAAAACAAAGTCGATACACGCTGTCTGTTCCTGTGTATACTTAGATCTTTAAAACTGTGTGACAGATTTTGATGTGGTGTTTTAAATAGATGGAAGGTTTATGTTTGTAATTTATTACGGTTTGTCGTTCTTCAGTCTATATTTAAAACTGATTTTCATTAAAATGCAAATAAAATAAGAAAATGTAAAAACGGGTGCAATGTAATTTATCTCTGTACCTATTCAGGGATTAAAAATAATATTATTTCCAATAAATTATTCCCTTATTTTTGTCATTCGATAAAAAATAATAAATAAAATTATTAACACTAGATATATGTATCTGATGTCAACAACAAAACAGTTTTAGCTGTTAAAATGTGATGAACGTACGGACATTAAATCAAGACACTCGTTGAATCTTGACTATAAAACAAAATTATTCCCGTGATAAAAGAAACTTAACAAAACAATTCGAAACACAAATCATACAAGTTTATTGCCTCAACTTATACCATTCGGTTTCGTCTTGGGAGAGGTTAAATTTAAAATATTCATAGATGTCACTAGAAATAAAATGGAATTAAATTAATAAATATAATCTCACTTATTAGGCATACCTTATAATAACTAACTGCATAAGTACGTTAGTTAGTTATCTATTGATTATTCAAAATATTCTTTAGTAACAATTTTGTTCCAAAAACAATTGTAAAGGAGTGAGTTAATCATTAAGTAACTCTGAGTAAGTCTGTAGCCTTTGTTTAATTCTATTGTCCGGAGATCTCCGGCCACTGTAAGTGTGCCAATGATTAAGCGCAATAATGCACCGTGGCCTGTCCTGGAGCAAAAGGAACGAATATTCCCTGTAGCCAATAGATGATTTTAGTTTCGCGTTATATTTCCCGAAACAGGAAAATCTATTTGGACTTTTCATCTTTTACCTTTTCGGGAAAGGATAAAGTTTGGAAAAAGATGCAAAAATTAATAATAAACCAGACTCAGAGTTGGTAACACTGAACGTTGAATGGTCAAAACGTCAAAGCTAGTTAAATTCACATCTCCACAATCGTGATGATCACAATGTGATCTCATCTCACGACTATGTGATAGCTATCACAAGAAAGTGGAAAGCGTGGGCTTTGATCGTGAAACTCCATTGTTATCTTATATCCTGGTACTTTCGCAGTCATGATTGATCAGTGTATAGATAAAGAAGTGGACCATTTTTGCTCTATTAACAGTCCATGTTGTTAAGATTCTTAGATCTGATTTAAAAATTGCCGATTTGGGTGGTTACCGCCCGATAAATATTATTTAACATTTAATAATATTTTATCTATAATTTTATAAAATTAATCTTTATTTTTATCTATCAAATAAAATTGTCTCTCTAATTTTAAGTGTGGGAGAACCATGCTTTTTCACGGATGGGTCAGCTTGACCGAAGTGATACCATGTGAAATCTCACTAAAAACCGATGTGAAACAACCATAACGTTGTTTCGCCATAAGATTGAGGTTACCGTTAGCCCAAATCCCCACAAAGCTGGCATTGCACTCGCAGCTTTTTTGGTGCCGATTTTTTACCATCATTATGTAATTAGTCTGCTCATTTGTCGCCCTATATCATAGAAAAAAAACATTAAATCTACACAACTACACAACAAAATTATTAAGAACAAGAGGACTATATACATAAACATAAATATACCTCTTTAGATTTAGACAAGGAGAACAATAGTAAAGTTTGCCGAACAATGAATGATTGTTTCAGATGCAACTATCAATTGTTTAAGTATTGTATGTCTAGTCAAGGCAAGGATCAATGCTGAGGCTGCGCGTACGCAGTGTCTGGTTACATCAAGAGAGGTCAAGACTACCGCATCTGCTTGCAACCTTGATTTATATATGATTGGCAATCTGAGCCGTCATTATTGTAAATTCGTGATGTTGCAATTTTGGTTATAACAATGTTTTTTTGATATTTTTGTTCTTTAATTTAGTAGAGGATTTTAAGCATTTTTTAAATTATTATTAACTTATTGGACTGTTGGTCGCAACTGAACTTGACTTGTGTTTAAGTTTAGTTTATCTAAAATGTCTATTTTAGTTTAAAAAAAATCATTGTGGTCGAGGTCTAGTAATGCTTGGGTCACACTAACGGGAAATGCTATTAATTATCGCGATAATAAACGTTAATCGTAGGTGTAATTTGATAACTAAACACATGAGTTAAGGTATATTTTTCACTGTGTAATGTCATCCATTATCGCGATAATTAATGGCATTTCCCGTGAGTTTCGCCTAAGCATAAGTGTCATGATACTTATATTTTAAACTTTAAAATTTTTCGAAGAAACATTCGCAGTTGCATAACTTTCCGACTCTGTGCTGTGAAATGACAGTCACAGAGAGAGACATATGGACTTTCAATGGGTATAAAAATGTACTTCTTTAGTTGCTGTACTATATAGGTTTAACGAGGGAGTTTGCAGGTGTAGTACAATGATGTTCCACGGCCTAGCAGATCCAGTAGGAGAAGGTTTTTATTTAGTAAAAATCCGACACCCATCTCCGGCCGGGAGAACAATCTGACAATCTGAATAGAAGTCATTACACAATTACCCCTCCTCAAAATAAACCTAGAGAGGCCTTTCGTTTAGCAACAGACCTCTCACAGCTGATACATACAGTTGATGATGATGAATATAACAGTAGGCTTACATATTGAACTTCTCTGGTCAAAATGGCCGATTTTCGAAGCCTATAGAACTTTCCATAATTCCATTAATACCTCTTGTTGCCACATCGTTCCCTGCGGCCATTGCAACACTGCCGAACATCAGAACACAGCTTCAAGTTACATCACAAATGATAACGACCTTAATTATTGCAGTGCGCAATAAATTATTACCTTTTTTATGTTCTAGCTGCCATATTGTTTAGCTGCCATGTAACACATCTCTCTTTTAAATTTGGAGTGTTAAGATTACCTAAAGTTGAGGAAATGTCAATACATTTATATACGCTAATTTGCAGGGTTGCTCTTATTGGGACCGCTTATCCGACCAAGGATAATATCGAACCTTAATTATTTATTGTTAAAAAATAATTGGTTCCATTAAGTTTAAAACCAATTCTTTCTTGTTATTTTATTTCTTAAACGTATCAAACTCTCGTCATATGTATTATATTTAAAACCTGAGTTTTAATCTCGACCTCTAACAAAAATACGATGCTTACAGAAATAAAAATCAAGCCGACCAATAATTCACACAACAATATCTATACATTAACCTCTTCGTCTCAATTTACACTAAAAGATTCGCAAATAAATGTGCCAAGCAAAAAACACAAAAAAATAACCCCGATTTATGCGGCAGAGTAAACTTTATGTTCGGTCTAAAAAGCCCTGGTATCATAAATTGACCCTTACTTTTTAATTTACACGAAAAAGGTTTGATAGGTGCCTACCTACCGATTTCAAAAAATATTTAATTCTTTACGAAATTTTTTTCTTCGGCCTTTGAAAATAGTAAACTGTTGTGTTAATATTTGGTTTTCGGAGTTTTATGTTATTATTTTTCTTCTAAACGGTTTTTGTTGATTTTAATGATA